GGCGCAAGACATAAAATTACCCTAATGATTTCCCAATTCAACTCTACTTGCAACACATCAACTATTCTTCCAAATTTCTTATCAAACGTCATTTTGTCAAGATTTCTTAGACCATTCCAAGCAACAACCAAGTCCTTTACACAATGTCTTTTGATCTGCACAGAGAATCCATCCTGGTGTGACTTGTTCTTCTTGGATAACAACGGACATTCTAACTCTAAATTTACCCGTTTTCCCTTATTTTCTTTTTCTCCAAAGAATCGATGTGTAAAATAATCAATTACCTATTTATTAAAGAAAAAAAAAGAGTTAATAAATGTCATACCTCTTGGTCGAATTCTTCACCTAAGAAACATAAAAACATTGTCTAAAAATAAAATACTCCCAACGTGTCCTATGTATAAGGTTTTTAGACTTTGAAGGTGGTTTATTAGGCTGGCCGTCCTAGTGTTAAGTTTTGTCTAAGTCCATTACATGTGGTTTCCTAGTGGATCCTATACGATTAGGCTTTTTCAACTGCTAACTTCCATAAGTCAACAGTTATTGACTTCCATAAAGTCAATAATTGCCAACTTCTATAGAGTTAACAAGAGGCATTTCATGACCTAATACAGCAGTAGTAATATGGCTGTCAAGCCATATTAACCCACAAAATGAACCTAAAAGAGATAAATCTCTCTTCATAATGAAAGCATTGCGCTTTTTATTGCTCCATGAGTTATCGATCTATCTAGAGGTCAGGTTCACCTCATCAAGGACAAAAATGATATGTAAGTGAGGTGTGTAAGGGAGTATACACATAAAGTTAACATATGAAAATAAGAAAAATATTAAATAAAATAACAAAATAAAAACTTACAAGGTAACCCATGCCACCTACAAAACAAAAGTTAGTAATTGAAAAACCCCAAATTAAAGTATAAATGGCTTGACCCCTCAATGTTCCCCAGTGGAGTCGCCAAACTGTTGACGTGCCAAAATGGACGGAGTTGCCATCTATCCAATGAGGTGGGATAGATCACCAGGGTCTTTGTAGAAATTGAGTAGGTTTGGAGGGTCAATTAAGCATGGGGAAGGTGTTAGGCACCCCACAACTTCCAAATAATATGGTTACCCCATACTTTAATTTGGAGAGTTTTCAATTTTATATCAAAATAATAATAATAATTACCAAAGAACCAAAAAAAAAAAAAAAATTTCAAAAACCCCATCATTGTCTTTTTTTGTTTCTTTTTTTATTTATTTTATTTCTCCTTTTTTTTCAATTGTTTATCAATAATAGCTACAAAAAAAATCACTTTAGAAAAATTAAACAAGTACAGTTCATCATCATCTGCCTTTTTTCTCGTTTCTGTTTCTTTTGTTTCTTTATATATATATTTTTTGTTCTCTTTCGTTTCTTTTTTTTTTTTAAATGTAATGCATTTCAAAAGAACAGCAAATCTCAGAAAAGAAACTTTATGATAGAAAACAAAATTTGTTCATTATCTCATATTATTGGAGCACAAACTAAATCACAATACCCATATCCTAGCAGCTTCTAAATGATACCCTAAACTTAAAATGACGGTAATTGATTTTGTTAAATTACTCTGATTAAACAAGGAAACAGCCATGAAACCAAGTGACGAACAGGATTGGGGACAAACAAATAAAGGGAGAAAATATGTATGCAACAAGAAAACACCCAATAAAAATTTTCTCTAGATTAATATAGCAACCAAGAAACAAAAGAAACAAAGAAAAAGGAAACATATGCAGAAAACTAAGATTCAAGATCCAAATTCTTCCATATTCTCAAGAAAACACACTTGAAAAGGAGAAAACCAATTTATTTATTTGCTGCAAACTTCAAAATACCAGATTTCTTCCTTCTTTTGCTTCACACTATCTGCCGACTCCCAAATTTCTTCCCTTCTCCCTCAATTTCCTCTCCCCATAAGCTGAAGGTGTCCCCCTTTTTATATAAAAACAAAGAGAACTCCAATCCTTTTCTAATTCTAAATTCTAATCCCAATCCCCAAAGTTACAGATAATAATCTAATCCTATTTGAAATTGGAATTCTAAAACTAATCTAGTCTTTTACACATCTTCCCTCTTTCAAGACTAGATTCATACCTTTTAAAGATCAAGACTCTTCATTTGAATCGACTTTGAAAACTTCTTCTTCAGTTCTTGATAAGGACTTCAAATTCGAAAATCTCTTCTTGTGTTGTTGTGATCTATCTAAACTTTGAGTGGATTTAGGGATAAATCAAAAGAATTTGGGAGTTTTGGGAGAGTGGCTGGCGGCAAAGCAAGAGGAAGCAAGAATTGTGAAAATTGAGGGCTAGGGTTCATCTGAACCCAAATTCTCTTTTTTACTTTTTAGCCCATTGGTCAAAACAATGTTGTTTTGCCATTTTCTCCCCTTAGCCCTTCAAGTTTCTGGCCTTTATAAAAATAGTCCATTGCTTTCTAATTTTATCATTTAGGCCCAATTAGAACTGGGTTATGACAGTGTTAATTGTGTTTTTGGAGTGATTTGAATTGGGAAGAGCTGAATGATCGAATGAAACTTGTTAATTTTACTAAGGTGGGAAAACTGAAATTGACTTCGCCCTTAACTTTATTAGGACATCAAATGTTGCAAAAGAAGGATGTTTAATACAAGTAGTGAAATGGGAAACTTTCAAAGGTATAATTTCTTCAAGTTGTTGACATTCCAAATCCTAGGCACTCTCTTGCCCTCAGAATATTGGAGAATGTAGGCACTAGGGTGTGGGATTTCAGTTACAATATATGGGCCTTCCCAGTTCGGTGCTAGCTTGCTGAAATGGGTCTTGAACCTTATGAGCCCGACCCTTCTTAGAACTAGGTCATCGATTCTGAAGCTTCGAGGTCGAACCCACTTATTGTAAAATCTGGCTACCTTCTGCTTGTATGCAAGCGTTTGAAATTGGGATTGCTCGCGGACTTCGTCTAAGAAATCAAGGTTTTCTCTAAATAGTTGCTCATTTTGAGTTGGTTCAAAATGGCTAACCCTTAAGCTCGGAACACCAATTTCAATAGGAATAACTGCCTCAATGCCGAAGGCCAAATGATAGGGAGTTTCACCTATTTGAAGGAGACTATGATTTTAGGATTTGCTTTACAGAGTGATTTATGACTGGAGTAAAATAGTGAAAGAGGAGATTAAAATCATGAGTGTACATGTGGCAGTTCAGCTCGTAGTTCGGTAAGCCCATAGGACGTTGTTAAGCTTGTCTACCCATTTTGCTTTCAGCTTATCCAACCTTAGCTTAATTCCCTCTAGAATGGCTTTGTTAACTGATTCAACCATTCCATTGGTCTCGAGATGATAAACTGAAGTGAACACTAGCTTTATCCCGTAACTGGAGCATAAATCTTTAAAGGAGTTGTAATTAAATTGAAGACCATTATCAGCAATGATCTGGTTTGGTATCATGTATCTGCAAATGATTGAGCCGAAAAGAAAATCCTCAATCCTTTTCGAAGTCAAACAAGAGAGAGGTCGAGCTTTACCCACTTAGTAAAGTAATCCACGGCAACAACTAAGTGCGTTATTCCCCCCATTCCTTTGATGAAAGGGCTTAGAAGATCTATTCCCCATTGGGCAAAAGGCCAAGGTGCGACCATGTTAGTGAGTTTTTCAACTGGTTGGTGGGTAAGATGAGCGAAGAACTGACATTTTTGACACTTCTATACAAACTGATTTGCATTAGACTACATGTTAAGCCAATAGTACCCCTGCCAAAGTACTTTATGGGCCAAAGTCTGAGCTCCCATGTGGCTTCCACATACCCATTCGTGTACTTCTCTCGATGCATACTCAGCTTCATACGATGTCAGGCACCAGAGGAGAGGTAGTGAGTAAGATCTCTTATATAAGACATCATCAACTAGGGTGTATCGGGACGCCTTTCTCCACAGCTTCATCTCCTCTTGTTTGTCTGTTGGGACAGTTCCATCTCAAAGGTTAACTCTGATGGGATTCATCTAGCTATGAGCTTCTGGATCAGTACTAATTTCCATTACCTTTGATGTCTAAAATCTTGGTTCATTTAGGATCTCGATATAGACAAATCTTACCCCCCTGAGCTATCGGATGCTAACTTTAACAAAGAATCTTCATGTTCATTCTCTGCTCTTAGGACCTTTGTAAGTTGGAAATTTTCAAAGTGACACTTCATCCTAGAGACTGCAACCACAAACTTTGCAAGAGTAAGATTGTGACCTCACACATAGAATTGATTTGATTGACCACTAACTGTGAGTCACTATATATCTGTAGGTGCTTGACTTTAAGCTCGACTGCCAAACATAATCCAAGGAGGAATGCCTCATACTCGGCCACGTTGTTCATGGCTTCGAAGTTGAACTTCAATGCATGTTCACTTCAAAAATTGCCAGGCCTAGTCAGTATTGCTCTGGCTCCTAACCCCTAATATTGGATGACCCATCGACGTAAAAAGTCCACGCTTCAATCTCGAAACTCGATCTCTCTTGATTAGAAGTGCACTCCGACACGAAGTCTGTGAAAACCTAAGCTCAAATTGCTGACCTCTATTGGAATGTTATCTGGAACTCCCCCAGCTCCACTGCCCATTTGATGAGTCTTTCGGAGCATTCTGGTTTCTGCAAAATCTACCTTAAAAGTTGGTCAGTCATGACAATAATGGGATGGGATTGGAAAAATAGCCTCAACTTCCTCGCGGTAGAAACAATTGCCAGTGCTGCCTTTTCTACTACGGAATAGCCCTGTTCAGCTCCTTGTAGTACTTTGCTGACGTAGTATATTAGTCATTACTGCTTCCCCAATTCCCTGACCAAAATAAAGCTGACAATTGTATCAGATATTCCAAGGTAAAGATAAAGAATTTCACCCTCTTCAGCCTTAGTTAGTAGAGGTGGTGAGTTGAGGTAGGCTTTAAGCTCGTCAAAGGTTGTTTGATAGTCTGCAGTCCAATCAAACTTCTTGGGTTTTCCCATCTTATCTCTTTGAGCTGTAGTTCTCAGAACCTTGAAGAAAGGCAAGCATTTGTCTGTTGATTTAAAGATGAACCTGTGCAGAGCTGCTACCCGTCTAGTTAGACGCTGCACATCCTTGGTTGACCTCGTCAACTTCATCTCCTCTATCGCTTTTATATTTTCAAGATTGACCTCTATCCCTCTTTTGGAAACCATAAAACCCAGAAACTTGCCGATTCAACACCAAAAGTGCATTTCATCGGATTTAACTTCATGTTGTATCTTCTTGGGTTATTAAATGTCTCAGCCAAGTCAGTCAGGTAATCCTCTACTCAGAGACTTTTGACTACAGTGTTGTCTACGTAGACCTCCAGATTTCTGCTATCTGAGCTTGGAATACGATTGTTACCATTTTCGGATATGTTGCTCCTGCATTCTTGAGCCTAAATGGCGTCTTCACATAACCATAGATTTCATCCCCCGCATAAAATGAGGTCTTCACTTCGTCTTCAGATGTCATATGAACTTGATGATACCCCGAGTAAGCATCTAAGAGACTCAACCTTTCATTTCCTGAGGCAACTTCTACCAACTTGTCTATATTGGGCAGGCGTCATTGAGATTGGTGTAGTCAATACACATTTGCCACTTGCCATTTGACTTTTTACCAGAACAAGATTAGCAACCCATTCACAATAATCTACTATTCTCACAAATCTAACCTGTAAAAGTTTTTGCACCTCCTCTCTGATGGCTTGCAGCCTCTCCCCATTGAACAAATGTCTCTTCTGAGCTACGGGTTTCTTCAGAGGGTTGGTGCTTAACTTATGCACCACAAATCAAGGTCGTGATTCCGGGCATGTTAGCGGAGGTCCATGCAAACACATCTTTGTTTGCTTTTAAGAAGCTTATGAGCTCCTCTCTTTTCCTCGATTTTAGTCTTGTCCCAATCTGCGTCCATCTGGTGGGATCATTGTTGTCGATTTGCACTTCTCCTGTTTCCTCTATTGAAGCAGCTTTGGCTTAATCATCCGGTCAATTGTCTAGTAACTCCACACCCATCACCTGCTGAGTACTAGGTGCCTTAGATTGCATTGGTTCTAGTAACTGAATTAGCTCCTTATCCCTCTGAGGTCAATTGACCGAGGTCATATAGTAGTGTTTGGCTACTTCTTGGTTGCTTCTCAGAGTTGCAACTCCCATACGTGTGGGGAATTTCATGCATAGGTGAGACTACAAGACGACAGCTCGGATTTCTGTTAAGGTGGGCTTTCTCACTACTATGTTGAAAGATGAGGCCATTTTCACAACCAGGAATCGTACTGAGGGGGTGACATATGTTTGGCCTAAACCAAAGGCCACATTGAGAGTTAGTAGTCCTTCAACAGGAACCGGCTGATTGTTGAAGCCATAGATAGATCCATCATACTTCTACAAGAGAGTTGGGTCGAGGCCAAGGCTTTTAAAAAAGTGGTAGTACATTATATCTAGAGCACTTTCGGTGTCAACAAAGGCACGATAGACTTCACAGTTGTTGACGATGACTAACGTTACCAACGGGTCACTATGGGGTGTAACGACGCTACCGAGGTCAACCGATGTGAATGTTGTTGGTTCTTCCACTCTTCATCGTCGAACTTCTTCTTCTGAGCTTGGTTTTGATGTTTGACCTCCCTCACATAGAGTTCTTGTTGCTTTGAGCTCATCCTTCCTGCCTCTAACCCCCCATTTATCATGTGAATGATTCTGGCTGGTGTAGGGAGCGAAGGTGGGGCCTGGTGATATCCAACCCCAGTCTTATTGCCAACACCTTGGGGTCCTCAAGACTCTTATCCCTGCTCCCTTACAAACTTAGGGTGGTCCTTGTTAGGGATGAACTCATTCAACATTCCTTTTAGAACCAAGCCTTCGAGTTTGGACTTCAAGCTATTGCATTCTTCTATAGTGTGGTCGTGATCTTGGTGGAAATCGTAGTACTTAGTGCGATCTTTGGAGGTGGGTAAGCTCTGCATGGGTGGTGGCCTTCTGAGATCCATTTTATTTTTTATTTGCATTAAAATCTACGATCTTGGTAGTGTAAATGGAGTCCAAGTGGGCTGCCCTCCTGTGGCTTGCCCTCCTGTGGCCTGCGAGGCACTCACACTGGGCTTATCAACCTTGGCGGTTGAGAGGGGACCTCGGTTTTGAAGGATTTTGGATTTCTTTTTGCTCGACCCTTCTTCCCTTCACATAGGGCTTCTGCTGTCTTTGATGGTTAAGGGCTTTTGTGACAATACGTATTCTTCTACAGTGATGAAATTGCAAGAAATTTTATTGACTTCTTCAAATGAAGCAGGGGGGTGCTTGATCAAGCTATCTCAAAACCGCTCATGGCTAAGCCCTTGGGTGATGGCGATGATTTCTACAGCTTGGTCAAATGAACTGATCTCCATCACAATGTCATTGAACCTATTTATGTAATTTGTTAGGGATTCTCCTTCCCACTGGACCACCTGCATAAGCTCAACTGTTGTTTTCTTGATTAGCCTCCAATTGGAAAATTTGGTGGCAAAGGCTATTGCCATCTCGGCATATGAATTGATTGAGTTCGGCTTTAGTCTATAATACTAGGTTCGAGCATTACCATGTAATGTGGATGGGAATATTTTGCACATGAGGGCATTTGAGGTGTTCTAGGCCTACATGACAGAACAAAAGGCGTGTAAGTGGTCATCGGGGTCTTTAGTTCCATCATACGTCTCGAATTGAGGCATTCTGAACCTTGATGGGTATGGTTCCTAAACAATGTTGGTATTAAGGGGAGTAGATATAGGAGTTGAGTTGGTTTGGCCTGGAAATACAACTCTGTTTTCGGCCATCATTCTTTCAAGGATATCTAGCCTTTTGGAAACATCTAAGGCTACTGGTATTGGGAGGTGGAGGGGGATTGTGAGATTGTGATTGGGAGGCACTCCTAGATGGGGCAACGCTCTAAACAGGGGAGTTAACAGGCTGTTGTTGTTGATTAAGAACAATGGGGTGAGCTGGATTTAACAAGTTGATGAGAGGGTCATTGAGATTATTTCTGGCTAGGAGCTGTGCAAGCACCAATTGGAACACTCCGAACTGTTGCTGCATGGTGTTGAGTTAAGCAGCTATGAGGTAATTCGGGGTGGCGACTAGATGTTGTGGATTGTGTTCTCCTGTTCCTTCCACATGTTGACGTTGAGCAGCCACAAGCGGTACATTTTGAGGTATGAGGTTGGGGCTTGGTGACTGGCGTCTTCCACCACCTCAAGACTGACTTCCATGTTAGGTCGAGCGTGTGCGAACCATCTTAGTTTCTTTTCAAGGCTTCTTGTTTGTTTTCCCACAAACAGCGCCAATGTTGTTGTAGAAAACCTCTAAGATTTTCCTTTTGTGTATCTTCTCTTTGAGCAAACCTGCAAAATCCTGAGGTTATAAGTTAGTATTTTTCTGGAGAGTGTTCTCTCTATGATTATTTCATGTATATAATGTACCTTTCCTCATGGGTTTTGTACATCTTGGTAAGGTATCCACGTGGCCTACCCATACCCACATGGCCTACTTAACATGATAATCATGATATGATGTGCCTGACAGACCAAACGTCTTAGGTGAACATAACGTGCCTTAACGGAGCAACTGCATTAAATGCGTGTGGCATGTTCTGGCGGAGCAAGTCAACGATCAGGTACGGACAAATAATAAGGTAAAGGTGTTCTCATTGTAACTGTCGTGCACTTGTGGTAGAGAACCGAGGTGCGGTAGAGCACTGAGCTCTGCCTTGCTTGTTGTGCACTTGCAATAGAGAACCGAGGTGCGGCAGAGCACTAAGCTCTGCCTTGCGTGTTGTGCACTTGCAGTAGAGAACTGAGATGCGATAAAGCACTAAGCTCTGCTTTGCGTATTTATACCCTTACATGAAGCAGTTTGAGCATGGATCGGGACAGAGAGAGAGCACGTGAGAGGCGTTACCATCAAGGATTAGAGTCAAGGGGACACTTTTTTTAATTTATGCATCTCCTTGTAATTTATGCATCATTTTTATTTATTAATTTGAGTTTTTAACTTATTTTTCATATATATATATATAACATTTATTAATTTTAATTAATTTTTTATATTTTTACTCATTTTAAT